TTTTAATATAATATTTTGTGAAGAAAATCGGTCCACAATAGCGACGGGAAATAAAAATCAATTGGGACTATGTAAGGAAATTCTTTGGGCCTTAACCTACAAAAAATTGCTCAGGAAAAGTAAGTCTTGTCTTTGTACAGCACCAGGGTCTTATTTTTAGCGAAAATAGTTGAACAACAGCAAGATGTCAGCTTATAACTTGGGCCCCTTCACATATAAGCTTTTCAATAAAATTCATAGCCACATGGCATAATTGTTAGTATTTTCTCAGAAAAAAATAAACGGAAATTTCTATAAGACAAAGTGGTGTATGGAGTTTAATAGCCAAGAATGGCTCATTATATTGTTTCTACTTCCTTTTCACTACCTTTATTCAGATGATCTGTAATTAATTCGAAAACTGATGATGCTCGTATAACAGACCTGTCAAGTGAAAATATAACCAATGCACTCCCGTAAATCGCTATTGAAAACGATGGACCATAACATTCGTCTGTGCGGTTTAAAAAAATTAGGCGGATGGATAGTTAAGGAAGATGCCTGATGAAGAAAGCCTATTAACCATAAATCAATCAGATATCACAAAAACTGTGACTACCGATTAATGATGAGTTAAAGAAGAAAGAAATGCCTTTTCCCTCGCCGTTGCTCATTGTTTTCAAATCTTCTGCACTTAGTAAAGGTGTTAATAGTCGCAGTGGGATGCCTACAAGTTCATTCATTCGAAAGATGAGGCAACTGATGCTGTTCTCTTTTTATTTGTTTCTTTGCTTTAACGAAAATGCGGTCAATTCCTATAATAGACCTCAAGAAGAGAAGAATTATTTATATATACATATATATACATATGTACATATATATATATTTTATGTAAAATGAGAAGACATGAATGGATTTTGTTATTATTACGACGCGGACATAAAAGTGTTTATGGCTGGCGCTTAACATTTGTATTCAAACGCGACATTAAGCAGACAAGTGCCAATAGATTTATGTTTATTAGTCGGCTAAGTACTTAACCGACTAAGGCATTTAGTTTAATTTAACCGAATGCGTACTGCCGCTCTTACATTCTGTACATGTATATTATGTCCATGTATGACTGGCTCTATATATATGTGTACCTGTCTGACTGGCAATATCTTAAAAGTCCTTAATGATTACTTGTGTCGCGTTTAATTGCCTGGTAAGTGTTTGTGTATAAAATTTTCGTTCACCCTGAATATATATATATATATATATATATATATATATGTATATGTATATTTTCA